GTGAGGTGTCTGTCCCTAGGGTCAAGCGGTACCTCATCATAGCCTGAGAACAGATCACAGACCGAATAGATCGACCTACCTGCTGCACCTTCTGCAAGTAGATCAGCGTGTGGCACGGAGTCCACGTCTCGTATCGTCACCGCGTTGACCTTCTGAAGGTCCTGGATCCATCGGATCTTGCCATTCGGCTTTCGTAGGAAGAACCATCGATTTGCATAAGCGCTATCAGACGGCTCCGCAACGTGGGAAACCATCTTTTCTTTCAGGAAAGCGATAACTTTTTCCTTCTTCTGCTGGGCGTACTTCCATCCCGCGTCGTTCCAGGGAACATGTGGTATTGTGTAAATTCTTGCTGGCTTAGCGTATCGAGGGTCAATCTTACCGCGCTCCGCGTCGCTGAAAGCTATTGCCTTATCACATGTCTTCAGAATTTCTATCACACGTCCTCGCTCCTGTGGGGTTAGATTTCCGTCTCCGATGTCCATCCCTGCTATTCTCTCTTCCGTTAAGCGTTGTGGCTCCTTTTTCTTTCTTTCTTTGATTTCTTTCGCGATCTCTTCTTCTGATMCCCCTTCGAGTGCCGATCGCTCGCGGCCCACCGCCGCTGGCTTAACTTTTTGAGCTACTCGCTTGTGTCACTTGGGTAGCCCCCCATAGGGGGCCGTGCCCTTAAAAAAGACACAGATACCACACCGCCAAATTCCTCATCTTTTTCCTTCGGGTACGAGTTGCCGCCCACTATTAGCCGACTCCCTAAATCTTCCACCTCCACGATCCGACCTTCTTCCTCTGTGAGCAGTGGTCCATATCTCTTCTCGCGAAATCGCACCGCGCGGCTGGAGATAGGCAACGACTTAATCTGATCACTGGGTCTGACACCCACAGCGAGAGCTGCTCTGTTCCTCGGATCCCGAGGCTCCACTGTCTCAATCATTACCCGCGTCCCGTCTGGTTTTCTAATGGACAATGTTTGGCTCCCATCAGGTCGCTCTATTGTCACCGCATGCACGTGGCTCAGCCACGTTCAACCCAAGAGCAGGTCGGAGCTGCAGTTCTTGACTGCAAAGACAGGCAGGGTCACTCTTACCCCTTGGACCTCTATGGCTGCCTTGTGACAAACCCCAGTGATCTGTTGCTTTCTCTCATCAGTCGTCTCTATCTCGAATAGGTATGACCTATCGAGGCCCAGTCCAACTTCTACTGCCAGGTCCTCGTCTATGATGACAGCCTCACTGTCGTTATCAATCACAGCATCGAGTATCGCTCCATCGTTTATAATCGTCTCTACGGCCCCGCTACCAAGTATATAAAACTTATCTGGAGGCACACCTTCCATCCCATCAAGAAGGACTGTCGCTATGCGATCCGCTTTCGCAGTCACCCCCGTTACCGCTACTGTAGAAGTTTCCGCTTTAGGGGCCCCCTGACCCTCCTCTGATAGAGGTATGCGAGTCTTACGCGTGATCATCTGTAATTAATCACGAGCCGGCTTTGATGCCGCCAGGTACTCCAGAATAGAGCAATGCATTGGTTGCCGAAGGGCCCGCCTCAATGGCACAACCGTGTCAATCTCGTCCAGCGAACTCTTCATTAAGAACTTCTTCACTCCCCTCTTTCGCGGCTAAAGGATAACCTCCTCTCCATCGACCCGCTGCCCGTCCTTCTCCGTCATCACGTAATCCGTGTCAGTCTTCTTCGATGTAGACCCTCTTGCCGACTTGGTGGCTGCCACCCTTATGGGTGTGGTCGCGGTATCCCCCTCAAAGATTATCTTGATGCTCTGGCTCCTGACCGGCTCCATTCCTTTACTCGTCTTAATTTTCCTTGCTTCGACATTCTCCTTCATCGAAGGAAACATCGATACATCTCCTAGATCATCTGCCCACTTGACGTACTTGCGGTCGTCAAGCACGACAAGTCCCTCATCTCTTGCCCGTCTGAGGTCCGGGCAATCACTCTTGATATGATCTTCTCCTCTACAGTAGATGCATGAGTTCCTGGGAGTAGATGCCCTGTCATCTACGCCTCTAGAGATCGAATTCCTAGCCGCCTTGGGGTCAGGCGACTTGGGACATGGTTCTGATGAGACGCCATATCCCCCTCTCTCATTCCGACCACGCGAATCGTTGCGCCGGTCTCCTCCAGACCCTCCTTGCTCATATCGCCCTCGCGAATCATTCCGGCGGTCCCCCGAGTCATATCGTCCTCGTGACTCATCGCGTCGGTCCCCCCGGTTGTACCATCCCCGCGAGTCGTCGCGCTGCTCTCTCGCATCTCCCCCGCGCTCAAACCGTCCGCGCGACCCATCTTGTCGTTCCCAGTCTCGATCTCCTCTCTCATATCTACTTCCTCTGTAGCCATCTCGACCCGACCTCTCGTTTCTGTTGTCCCTATATCCATCTCGGTCCGATCTCTCGTATTTGTCGTCCCTATATCCATCTCGTCGGCCCTGTTCTGTCTCCCATCGGCCGCGGGAGTCGCCTCTACCCCGATCGGCCTCATAGCGAGGGTTTCGGGGGTAATCATCTAGCCTCCTTGCTCGCACAAACAGCTCGCGATCTCTGCGGTCTCGGTCTATCTCATCGTCCCTACATCGCCATGATTCATCGTCTCTCTCTCTTCCCCTCATACGATAATCAGTCAGCGTCCGGGGATTTATATCCTCGACACTCCTCGAGGAATCGTTGTTCCTACGGTCCCAGCGAAGTGAATAAGGCCCTCCACGTTTGTCCCGGTAGGCCGTGGCCCCTGTAGTGGTCACAATCTCTGTAACCTGTCTCGTCAATCCCTTCACCATGTCCCGTATCTCTTTCACTTCCTCTGCCACGGCCTCATTCTTCTCCGACMAGGGATAGTCCTTGAAATYAGGACATCTATCAGTGGCATACTCCTTGTAGAGAGAGAAGKCACGTCTCCTCATCCCTCTCCACACCAAGTCCTTGTAATCGTCTGCCTCCGCCTTTATCGCGAGCTTTAGGACTTCAGGGAAATCAAGCCCGTCGCGCGGAAGATCTCTAAGTATATTTTTTTGCCTACCTTTGGACAAGTGTCCGATGAAGATAGTACAACGCTTGACCTCTGAGATCTTCCCCTTTTTCAGCAGCACGTCAGAGATTTTCTGGAAACGCATCCCAAATGCCCGTACGCTCTCATCTTCATCTTGAGTCATTGTTTCAAGGTCCTTGATGGAATACTTGTTATCCTTCAATTTGTAAAGCTCAACGAGGTTCTTCTTGTACGTAGTCCATTTCCCATCCTTCGGTCGAGCTTCCTTAACTTCCCTACCAAGACTTGGGTCCACATTAAATAGGAAGTTCTC